TAGTGTCTATGTGTGCACGCCCCTGATTAAATTGGTAGATGGGTTATAATGTTCTTTCCTCAAATGATCTTAAAACAAAAATTTTATTGAACAACAGCAACAGAAAAGAGTACTTTTAACTTAATACTCTGAGCCCTTTGTGTTAAGAAGATGGGCCGCCAACCAATGAGCAGAAGTCTCTCTAAGACACAACCCTCCTCATTTGCATAACGAGGCAGAAATGCAGACAGAAATGTAAAAACGACAAGCAGAAATAAATAGCATTGAAGAAATAAACAGGGTAAACAAATAAAAAGGAAGAATAAAACAGACAAAAAAATTATAACAAGCACACAAATAAATACTTAAAAAAAAGTAATTAACAAAAAAAGTTGAAGATTATAACGGACAATAAATAAATAAGGCAATTATTACAAAGGCGAATACACAAAGAAGCTAATTAAAAGAGATATATACATTTATGTCTCACCGTATAATTTAATTTCTACCTACATTTATTTGTTTATTGTATTTTGGGGGGGCAATTAATTCTATGCTAATTTATTTATTGAGCATATATTTATTTATGTATTTATTTTTAAATATAGTAGAGCTGGTCCTCCATACCGGTACATCCCAAGCTTTGTTCATCAAAACAGGCCCAAGTGGGCATACTGTAAATACATTTAGAAAATATATTATTAACTATATCTATAATATGTGCCATGTTAAGTGTTAGGGTAATTTTGGTTGGCATTTTGCCTGAGGATTTTGTAAATGAAAAAATGTGCTCAAAAAAGTTTGAAAATCACTGCTGTACAGTATACACTCAACAATAGGTTTTGGACTGCATGAATTAAAGCAATAATTCTGTGGCTTTACTTAGGTGTTAAGGAAGCCCAGGTTGTTTTAATAGCATCCTTCAGCTCCTCTGTTTTGTTGGCTCAAGTGTTTTAAGTTGTAGATGTGGTCATTTTGATGACAAATAAAGTACTAAGTCTTGCTAAATCGCAAATTTTCCTACCAACCTAACTTTATTTACATACTTAGATATAGCACTGTGAAAAGCTAGCTTTTACCAATTACCTTTTTTTTTTATCCAACTCACCTAATGGTTGATCAAGTTAGCTTTCCTACTAACTGCCATGCAAGCCATTATGTGAAATCTTTATATTTTTTTTTTTTCATCACTCACCTTTATCAGTAATTTTGTGGGGAACAAAATATTTTTAGTCAAAGTTATCAAAATTACTGAAACATTTCAAATATTTTAATAACCTGTCTAACTTTTTATCAGGGTTACAAAGATAAATCTAGATTTAAACAATGTTCTATTTATAAACCAGAAACGATTTCTACTGCACGTAGCCAACTGGTGTGGCTTTTAAAGCAGGTAAAAGGTATTTTGAGGCCAACGTGGTGGCAGAGGAAAAAAGACTTGGGTTTTGGAGGTGTTTGCTGAGGCTATTGAGAAAGATCATTAGTCTGCCTCAAAGGTATTCATTCAGTCAAACTGCTTTGTTTAAACTATATACATTGAGTGAGGAGTTGCCAGCCACGACTGGGGAAATGTTCAGATGGTAGAAAGAATAGTCTGAGGATCAACTCAACTCATTCCTACAAGCAGAAACTAGGTGCCCAGAGTTGGACTTGTTCTTTACACAGGCTGAAGTCACCAAGTTAGTTTAAAAGCTCATTGTGACTTTAAAGATGGTTGAGATACATCCTGAGTATTTTAGATCTCTTGATGCTGTGGATTTGTTGTGACTAGCACACCTCTTCAACATTGTGCATCAAACGGACTTACAAACTGGTGTGGGAGCCAGAGGGGTTCTGGTATAAGGACCAGCAGATTTAATTTCTCCTTTTTGTGAAAGGTGTTGTTCTGCTAATTGTAGCCAAGAGTTACTGCATGTCCTAGAATTCACAGCTGTGTTTGTGGACGTTTAAATAAAGCAAAGCTCCACCATTTATGAGTTCTATAGTTCTGAACTTGAAATGGGTGATTTGCTTTCCCCAGGTCAGAGGATTAGGGCTAGGGTCTTAAGTTGAAGTGTCTCTTGCTCTTGTTTAAAAAATGCTCAGGAGAAAGACTGAGGCCGTTGTTGCAGTCACACAGTAACTGATGCTATAACAGTAACTGTAGGTGTGTTGAAGAGAGAGTTGAATGAAAAGGCAAAGCTCTTCATTTGTAGCTTTTCAATCTATTTTCCTGTACTTGCCTATTGCATAACAAATCTGGCATCAAACAAGGGTGTCTGGAAAGTCACTTAAAATATGATGAGTAGCTGGGCTATCCTGGAGGGCTTGGAGTAACATTGATAGGAGTCAGCTAAAGTGCCTTGGACATCTGTACTGGATGCCTGTTAAACACTTTCAGTGAAACCTCCAGGGGAGAACCCAGGGAATGGCCAAGGGCATACTGGGATGCTGGAGACTATGTTTTCCACTGGTTTGGGAATGCTTTGTCTTCCTGTAGAGGAGGTGTTTGAGGAAAAGAGGTCTGAACATCTCTGCTGAGACTACTGCTTCTACAACCTGGTGTCAGAAAACACTGAAGGTGATGAGTAGAACTTTTACTTGATAGATTTTTTTCCTACCAAGAACAATGTAGAGTAATGCTGTAATATTTTTGATTATTATTTCTCATTTGCGGAAACACAAGTGTTAGGGTTAAACAGAGATTATGAGGTAACAGTTCAGGTGAATCTATACCTAAATAAAAATAATAATAATAATAATTGACATTTAAGTTAATGCAACAGTTGTACTCTATGTTAGGTGACAGTTATATGGACAAAGCTTTAGTACCTTTAGCTTTAGTACCAATGTAAATTAAAGCTTTACCTTGCAAGGATTTGAAGGAAAGCTTTATTTTTAGGATTTTATGATGCTAACGTATTTGGACTTAAGGTTTTAAAGAATAAATACTCACATCTGCGAAAGTGCAGGTTATGTGATCAGTGAAGCTGGCACTGTAAAACATGAAGCATACACCAAACAAAACTAAGGCCAGGAGCATCCATCTGTACTTCAGAAGAAAATATTTTCTGAAAGTTTGGACTCCCATTATCATTGATGAATGGATCTTGACCTGTGTTAAAAGAAAAAGTAAAAAATGTAGTTAGATAACTGAATTCCAGTTGTTTATTCAATTTTTTATGAAAAAAATAAAGGATTCATTTTTTTTGTTTCTTCTATCCTCTGCAAGATAAGTGAGAGAGGATAAATGTCAACCTTTTTAGGTTATTGGTATTGTAAGAATTTCATAACATTTCAAAAGTCAAATATCCAACTACATAGTTAAAATGATCAATTATATAAATATGTTTAGTTTTATAGTTATAGTTTTATTGGAAATTAACCTACACTTCTTTTTGCCTTACAAATTGTATGTTTTCATAAAAGTTAAACTTGAAAAACAGAAAGGTTTAATCTTGGCATTAGATTTTCATTAGTTTAGGTAACACTTATCCTGTCAAAGTTTAACACTTGCAACAACATGTGGCCAACAGTTCCTTTTGATTAGGCAAAGTGCTAAAAAATAACTGTTAGCTGACTGCTGCCCAAAAAACAACAGACATTATACATGAACAGCGTGACATTGTCAAATCAAGGTAATCTATGTTTAATGGAGAAACAAAATCATAGCAAAATAAAAACATTAAGGAAATAACTGCAAAAAAAACCCCATATGTTTGTAGATTACTGTATTTTGTGGACTACAAGGCGCACCTGAATGTTAGACACACAAGCCAAATGTATGGGAAAGTCTTGTTTTGTTCATATATTAGCAACACCTAATTAAAAGCCGCATGTGTATTTAATGTTTAACATATATAAGAGAATATGCACAAAGGGGATTGTCAGGAAAGAGATGGCTGTTTGGGAACACATCCCTTTTATTAACAGTTTTTAAAAAAAAAGCTACCGCTACATATTTGTATAACTTTTTACGTATATATGTACAACCACTGGTAATTACAAGTACGAAACATGTACTGTGCTGTTTAAATGAGTAACAAATGTACATCAGATGCACATCAGAAAAAGTAGATTTGGCCTACCTTTTAAACTACTGTAAGATGCAGCTTATACTTCAACAAGAAAAAAAAAGTCAGTCATTCATCGCCATTGCCATTATTTTCTTCCTGCCCACTAAAACCACCAAAGTCCTCTTCTTCAGTGTCGGAAACAAACAGGCTTACAGTGGCTTCATCATCCACTCTCCGCTTCTCTACTTTGCTGTCGCTTTCAAAACCAAAGAACTCCTTGTTGTCAGTGTCAGAATTCAACACCCTCTGAGGGGCAGTGGAGATGTTCTCTTCATCACACAGCAGTCCAGCACTTCCAAATCCATTGGTGATCGTGGATGTTTTGACACTTCTCCACGCTGTCAAAATGCCCTGGCAGACTTTGGAAAAACTTGCTTTTCACATGAAAACAGTTTTGGTAAATTATTTATCATCCCTTTTCATCCACACCTCCCATTGAATGCGTAGTGCCACTTTGAACATGATTCACGCTGTTGTCGAATGGCAGCAGTTGCTTATTTTTTTGCACTAAATCTTACAGTACTACTTTGCCTGGTGCAGGGACATGTAACCAACATACGTTGGTTAGGTACTGTAACCCCAGATTCTATTAATATAGGCGTAGCCCTTTAAGGCCCTCACTAGTGGGTTCATTCCTTGGCCCGTGCGCAAGCACTGAAAACTTTAGTCCAAGCCCACCTGCTGTGTGGGCCCCACTCCAGTCCGTATAAATAACGGTGAGGCCAGACAATTGGCTCCCAAATAGCAATTTTCCTTAGCCATTTAGGAACCAGTGAGGCCCAGAACTTAAAGGGCTATGCCTATATTCGTAGATTCTGGGTGTACAGCACTTAACCAACATTCTATTTCATATAGGCTTCGCCCTTTAAGGCTCTCGCTAGTGGGTTAAAGCCGAAGCAGGATGTGGTCCATGCCTCACTGGGTCCAACCCGAAGCATAAGCCTAAGCTGCCTGTTCTCACAAGGAGCTTCAGCTCAGCCTCCAGTGTGTGTTATTGTTCACATCAGAAGCGCCATGCGCAGCTGAACCACTGAGAGGGGAAACCTCTCTTTTCAGGGCTGAACCTGGACAACAGACCTGAGTCTATTAACTGTAACAGTAACGATGGGTAGAACAGGCCAAAGGCTCACAGATGTAACACTCCTCAGTCATTAAGCTGTCATCCTCTCTGTCGTGGTGCACACCACAATGGAGAGGCCTGGGCAGAGGTTGAGATCAAACCTGCTGCTGATGACGAAGAGGACAAGTTACAACAGTAACTGTCTGAACAGAGCAGGTGAACAATCCCTGTGAGGAGCAGGGACTGCAAGAAAATAGTTAGCAGCTGAACCATGCATAATACTCCAACATAACCATGCCTGCTCATTTCTGTCTTCAACATCTCTTGTCACAGAGAGTAATGAAGATCAAAACAAATAACATCAGAGATCACCAACCAAATAAACCTCCCAACTCGAGGTGGGAGGAGGTTTTCCAGGTGAGCGTAATGATCATTCTGTCAGAACTTAAACATCACGCAGGTAAAATCTGATGAATTCTGATTCTGATTCTGAATGAGCATGGAGATGACCAGGAAGCTGCCGTGCAAATGTCCTCCACTGTCATTCCTTCATGCTGCGCTGTGGAGGATGAGATCCCCCTGGTGGAATGAGCTCTGAGCTTTTCTGGAGGCTCCAATCCAGAAGTAGTATATGCCTGTGAAATGGCCTCACACAGCCAGTGTGAGAGGCGCTGTGCAGTCAAAGACTGCCCGGCAGAGTTCTCTCTGTAATGCACACACAGGTGCTCTGTGCGGCGCAGTGCAGTCGTGCATACCAAGTAACACGAGAGCGTGCGCATGGGACAGAGGAGATGGTGCATAACTCACTCCCCAGAGTTATGAGGAGGAAGATAGAAACAATTCAGAGTTATCACCTTCGATCTGAAAGAGCTTGTGATGCTCTTGGGTGTGAAAGCAGGATTAGGACGCAGCACAGCTGAGCTGCCCTCTCCCTGTATGCTGAGAGAGGAAGGAGCAACAGAGAGGGCGGACAGATCGCTCACTCTCTTTGCAGATGTCAGAGCCAACAGCAGAGCTGTTTTGAATGCTAAGAATTTAATTTGAGCCTGATCTAAGGGCTCAAATGGTGCTTTAACCAGAGCGTGCAGAACCAGCGCTAAATCCCACTGACACAGGTGACACAGGTCTGTGTCTGCGCACACCTCTCAGGAATCGCTTTGTCAGAAGATTTTTAAAGACTGTTCTGTCACACACAAATAGCCACAGCATAAGTCCTATTTGTGCTGAGGGCTAAATTTCTGGCATATAGCGCTGTTGTAGATGCAGTCTGTACACCCTGAATGGTGTGCATGACATGGTGCGCTGCCACGGGTGGCCTGACAACAGCTGCTGCAGGTTGGGGAACATCTCAGTGGGACCGGAGGGAAAGCATAAAGGGGTTTCTGTGGCCACAGA